TTGCTTTAATTTGCGTTTAATTCCGGTAAGTAGAGGTGATCCAGGAATTTTGTTGAAGGTGGCTGCAGTAATCCACCCAAGGGTCATGACCCTGTCCACACTAGGTTCTCCATTTGTTTATGATTTTAAGGAATTAACTGATCTTGCAAAAGTTTGGAGAGGATCGTGATTTGCTGAAATGGAACTAAACCACATCATTAAAACTATGCTTGCAATTATATGCCTATTAGTTACTATGAATTCACCATTAAACCTACATAAAACAAGCAGATGCATAATCATATTGTCCTAAACAGATATTTTAAAAAATTGTGCAGAAAATTAACGAATGTAAGAAGGCATTCCAAATGGCATTGTATTCTTTTACAGTCTCATGGAAACTTCCTCATAACCTTGCTTACCTCAGAAGCATTATCCTCCCATTACATCAGCATCAATCACAGTATTTCATTTTCTTATTTTCCCATACTTATGAGAATTGCACTAAAGAATAATTTTAATTAGGTCAAAATCAGATTAAACTAAAAAGCTATTTTGAAAAACTATGAAGAAAATTCTGCACTGTATAAAAATTTTCTCACAGCACTTCTACAGGCCTAGTTTTTTGATATTTTAATTAAATGATGTTAATCATAAGGTGGCTCCTAAGCATAAGATTCCTCTTTGTCCTTACTACAAAACAACTGCTCACTAATCAGTTCTAAATAGAAAGGGGTCTATCTATATTTCTAGTAGGCTGCGTCATGAAGTCATGAAGTGTATGTATGTCTCATAATTACAACAGCATTATCCTTCAGGAGACTATTTGTTTAGTGAATGGTTACCATAATTACTTCTATTTCGTTACTAAAATATACCAAAGGTGTTTACATATTTTTCATCATTCAAATTCATTTTTTTTTTACCATACTCCACCCCTTCAAAGTAAAATATTGCAAATGACATCCTAAGAAGTATAAAACATCATGATTAAAGCTTAATTGCAATGTCAAGTAGTCTATATACCCAAAGAGTTGCAATTAAGACATGTATTTTGTTTTTATCATTACCAAGATATTGCCTACATTTATGTAATATCATATTAGTAAAACTGACCTTACGTACTGAAGAATACAATGAACTCCTAGATCTGTAACTATTCTTTTGGTCACTAATTGTGGAGGGAGAACTAAAGTGTGAGATTAGCTTTATAAAGCCATAATCAGAAAACATCTATTTCACATGAAGCATAAAAACTTTTGGAATTTAATCACAAAGAAAAACAATCAATCTTGCTTCATGTTCATTAATATTCAAATTGAAATTAAACATTGAGTAGGCAATTCTCTACTCTCCCAGAACATAGGGACATTAATTCTTTGTTCAGTTATACCCTCATAATTATCTGCCCATTCGCTGCGAAAATAATTAGATCAACTTCCAAGAGGCCGAATTTCAGTTGCTGCACTTGCAAGGATTCTACAATTTTTCCAAATTTTCTTCTCATTTTCTTCAATTAATCCATGGCCAGAGGAAAAGTGGGGGCCATTCGGTGTTAAGATGGACTTAAGGATACCCCCAATGTCACCCACAGTTCAGGCTGGGTCGTCTACAGCTTACAGTGATGCTAGTAGCAAGGGATAAAGTATCAATGTCCGGTTTCAAGAGGCTTAGCTTGAGCCTCTTGTGAAATATTATACTGGCCAATCTTGGCAACATTGGGTATTAAAGATTATGGGGTAATTCAACCTTGTTCAAGAGTCCTTCGTATTTTGCATTTCTGATTGCCATATTAATTATAATACAGTGTGATTTTTGGGGAGTTAAATTTCCAAATTTCATGTCAGACTTATGAGTCCATTTACTAGAAACAATAGTATTTCTTTGAATGATGAAATTAAGCATTTTCTTATCAACTTTGATTATTGTTAACAAAAGTCAGGACATAGTCTTAAAGATTCTTTCATACAGGAAAGGAAAATATAAAGTTTTTAAAAAATTATCTTTATTGCTTACTATAACTTAAAAAGATAAAAAATTAGCATCACATCCCAAATCATACTTTGAAACACAGCTTCATAATTGAAGATAATATCAAGCATAAAAGTTCTAATAGTTAAAATATACAATTTCAACAGATTCAGAAGCTTTTCAAGACACAATAATGCCAGAAAATAATTATTATCGATAAGGAGGTCAATTTTGGAAAACATTTTTCATCCACAGCAATTACATTAAAGATATATGGTACAAAACATCATTAAAACAAGACATTAGCCACAAACAAATATGTTAGAAATGCCATATAAACTGTTTCCTTGACAAGTCTGGGGTACAGTTTGTAAGACATGACAAATTACAAGTGACATTTGGCCTCAACTAATCACAGTGGGACACAGCACTCTGTAACACAGGAGGGAGACCGTCCCATACCCAGGAGCGACGCGGACTCAAAGCAGCTTCGTGAAGATCTGATTTCTCCAAATTTCTACCCAGTATTGCCAAACAACCAACACCATTATTATAATAACCCCTGAATCGGGGAACCGTCTAGCCATCGGAACGGACAATGGAAAGTAATGACAAGGGTCACAAGGGCCCTCCAGCTTGTATTGTACCCCAGATGATACCCTTTTTGTGCACACAAACACACTTAAACAGTTGTATGGTATCACTAATTACAAAGAACATTTGCAACTAAAGGTCTTCATGGTTAATCTTTTGGAAAAAATGAGGAGAATTATCAAGCATGTGACTAACAAGAATGATCCCTCCTCAGGCGACAAAAAGTGAATGATTAATTGTCCGTCTGGGCTGCATTGAGATAATACTGTCAATGGTCATTAATGCACATAAGAGCACTTCACATTGCTTTTTTATATTCTTTTTTTCTCATCAAAAGATGTTTTTGTAACATATTAATATTCAGAAACATCAAAAATATATTTATAACTTAAAAATTATTGAATGCTTAGTATGTGTTTAAAAACATACTGAAACCTCTTTAATTAAATAATTAAGAAACAAATTTGTTTAAGAAAAATAACATTCTCACCTAATTAAAATTCTAAAAAATCCTCAATGTAATTCAAATTTATTTTTTCATCCGTTTCTCCCTCTGAAAATCCCCTTTGATCCTATTTCCTTCTCATCCAATCACTCTTGCTTCCCTGGTCAAAATTCTTTCCAGCGATTACCCCTCAACAGTATTTGCTGTTGATTTGCGTAAATATTGAAAGAAAATAAGCAGTGTTTAGTCTTGGCCGATTCCCCCTTCACAAAGCCTCCCATCCAGCTACCTTAATCATTCAATACCTTTTGGGACATAGGTAAACAATATCTTCCTCTGGTCAATACTACCTATGGTATCTAAATTGATTACTGGGTTTCGTCCCACTTTGAATTCACCGATGGTCTATAAAAAAGCAATTGTGTATGCCACAACAGATTTAAACTTGCTTTAAGATGTGGTCAAGCTAATTCCATATAACTGTATTTGAATCTTTTATGTAACTGTTTAATTGTTGTGTAGAATTTAGCACTTTTGTCAGACTTTTGAGTCATTTGATTCATTGTTGAGTTGACTTAGGAAAATTAAATGTTTCTTTATATCTCACTGTCTAAATAAAAACATAAAACTTTGTGGGTTTCTGAATTTTAGTCTTTGAAAAACCTTATTAAAAGTTAGTAGTATTTAGCTAAGAAATCTGACAAATTTTAACAAAATTAAAATCCCTCAGATTATATTCATTCAATTTAAAATTTAAAATAGTATTTTTTTTTTTTTTTTTTACACATTACTTAAAAGATATTCAGAAAACAAAAATTGGTTTGCTTTAAAAATACAAATACTGTAGATCTGTGACAAAATATTTTCCTCAAATTGTTGTTTAATATTTTTCAGCAACACAAAATATTCATAATATTTTGTTATTGCTCAATATAATATTTTCAGTACACGTATTAAACTATAGTATTAAAGAATGAAATACATGTATTTGCAAGCTGAATATCTCACAAAATTATGTCTGAAATCAAAAGCAATTTACTGTTTACAACTTACAAGATTTGTATAAATTTTCTCAACATGAGAAATGCCTTACTTCTATTACATCACATCTAAATTTCTATCTTTACCAAGTATAACTTGATATTTTGTACTTTTACCATTATCTAACCTTGGTTCTTTATTGATATTTTCCTAAATGTTATGGAACATCAAACAAGTCTTTTAGCATTAAAATCTCTCCATTAAAATCTCTGCATGGTAAATTTGATAGAACTATTAATTTGTAAACTGAAAAGTTAAATGCCATGCAAATTATCTAATCACACACTCAATTCAGAATCTCTATTGCTAGAAAAAAAAAAGGACCCTATTAAGAACATATTTTTTCATTTCATAAAAAAAAAAATCAGAAAACTCTGAAAAGCTAAGACATCATGAGCCTGTGTGCCAGATACATGTCTGGTTGTGCTCTTTAAGTCCTTTGATATTCAGAAACATAAATATGTGTCTGTTTGAAGAGTCTGTGTCCACTAAATGAGTAAAACTTTAAAAGGCCATTGATACGGAGGAAAAGTAAATAAACACAACCATGCTAAGGCAGTAATATTGACATAACCCATCACAGACAGGTTACAAATAATAAACTGGGGGACAATAGAAATGGTCAACAATGAAAATTCAATTAGCTTTCAGTACAGACCAGTCAGCTGGTTTAAAAATCCACAGCAGCGATGGAGGTTTATCACGACTATCAATGCATCAACCTCTTTAACAACTCAATTCTCTCCCTTTAAAAAAAATTGGACAAACCATTCCAATTTTACTTTACCAAAGGAGAGATTATTCAACAATATTTTTTTTCATTACAGTATATGTTGATGAAAAGAAATCTCCTACACTTGCAAAATGAAATAAGACATCAGAAATGGTTTTAGATGTCAAATATGACTTAATATAATGCCCAATAAAAACTTTTACATAGTAAAATGCAGAACAGAATTATAGTACTTACAATCAGATCACTATTTAGAACGTCCTAATGTTGGTGTGGAAGAAGACTACAAAACTAAAAAAAAAAAAAAAAGTAAACCAAAACTAAAATTTAAAAGCTGAATTTATAATCTCAATGAGCAAATAAAGTATTGGTGGCCTACCCTTCATAATTGGGGAAAACAAATGTGTACACTATGAAAAAAATCAAACAAAGCATAAAGACTCAATAAAAATAAAAATATAAATGGAAACTTCTTAAGGAAATTTTTTTCACAATATTCTACACTTCACTATGAAAAGAAGTCCTATGAGTCAAACAAATTAGTAAAATTCTAAGTTGATATCAATGTAGTGCTACTGAGGTCAATGGCTGAGCCTTATCTTTAAGTGGGCTTTTAATATCGGAGCAGGAGAAAGCAAGAAAGAATCACCACGAATCTTCAAGACAGGCCCAAAAGTAAATAACACACACATGTCAAAAAGACATCAGAGCTAATTTGTCCCAAAAAACAGCACTTGAAAACCTTCTACAAACAAATCAATGAAACCAATTTATTTAAATGATTGCAAAATGTCTTTCAATGGAGGTGTTCCACAAACACGTTGGATTGCGACTGACAAAGATGTCATTATATATGGGTGTTTGCCAAACGACAGGGACCCCAGACACAGATGTAGCCCTGTTGGATTCCAATGACAGCCCTGGATAGACTCTTCATAATGTTTACCAAGAAATGGTATATTAAAGTGCTATTACCCAAGACTGCATAAAATATATTTCAAGCTCCATTTTATTTACTTATGCCAAAAGACCTTGATGTTAACCTGTGGTATACAATTCATACAGTTGATCAAATTTCCTGTATCCTGTTCCAAAGAAAGAAAATACAGAAATATCTTTATTTAATTGTTTTCAGTTTTATCAATAAATGATTTTTAAAAAATCTTAACAGAGAAAACTGTCATTGCCATGCTGTTTTGCTTCAAAATTCAAGGAAAACCACAAAACTTGCCGTGTCTTCCATTATATTAAGCTTTTAAGGAAACAAGTTCTATAATATCCCATTTAAAAAGTTTTTAAAAAGTTTTTTTGATCAAGTTTATGCAAGCAGTTTCCTTAGTTTAAAATATTAAGGAAAAGACACCCCCCCTTCAAAATATGTTCAAAAGTACTATGCTCCTCTTGGTAAAATATTATGTTGCAATTCTTGGATTTTCTCAATAAATTGAGTAGACATGTAAGAGATTGTCAAACCATTAGTTTAAAATTTCCTGTACTTTAGAGGTTTTTCTTGTTATTGTAACAATTTCACAGACTTTAAAGCTTCACTTGTTTTGAAAAGGTTATCTGTCTAATCTTTCTAATCCAATTTAGGGCAATAAAGGGATGATACATTTTGATTCCAGTTTCAAGTTTTTATTTTTTTATATGAAAGTAAGGTTTATACCTGATAAGTGGCATCAAAACTGACGCACATAAAAATTATATATATATATTTCCAGATCATTACTGTGTGACATTTGCTATCAATTTGTGGCTGTCTTTTACAAACCTAGCATTGTTATGATTTGAAATACAAACAAGGGTGTCTGAAATGCTGTCTCCAATTTAATGGTTTCACATACCTTTATGATCTTTGCAGACTCAGCCCAATAAACCACCCCTTTTTATATCATGATAAAACTATCTTCTCTTTAGAGGGGTCCAATTTCTACAAATTCAAAAAGCCTGTATACTTAATGATGAAATTCAAATTTCATGTTTATCGAAAATCTCCAAATCTTTCTAAATGAAGCAATACCCATAATTAGACAGAAACTGGTATAAAATGATAAACAGAAAGTCAATTTCCCCAGGGGGTGTAAAGATTTGCATAGCTTTATAAAACTTGGTATCATTATTTGTCAATGTACAGGATTTTAAATCGTTGATCAACAACCGCCAAAGAAATAAGGAAAGAGAGATTGCACTGATACCTCTTTAATGAGGAAAATTGACACAAGATTTGAAGTACGCCTAATTCATATTGCATTTAAATAAGGCATTAAAAAACTTCCCTTTTATATCAAACGATTAAGGGCATGACATATTTAACAGTACGATGAACACTGTTTACATTTTTCAGGTTTAAACAAACTTTGAAAATTTGTAAAACTATCTGATTTTTAATATAAAAAAAAACAAAAACAAACAAAACACTACAGATCTTCATCTTGGTGTCAATTTCTCATCTTTGCAATCTTGGCATCTTGAGGTGCAATTTTTCTTTTTTCAAAATAAAATTAAAAAAGAAAACATAACTTTTCTTACCTAGTTTATCAATCCTTTGTCAGCTGATTCTAAACTTTTCACCAGGATGCAGTCAACTGAGGACAAAATAACAAATTTTCATTATTGTTGTCTCCTATATCATATAAAATTACTTTCCAAAATATTTTGAAAAGATTTTTATCACTATTGATTCAAAAAAATTTGTCAAAGGACATTGTTGGGCCTAAATTCATCATCCAGGAGGGCAAAAATGAGTTCAAAAAAGCAACATAAAGGCTAGACAGAAGTCTAATAGAAGGCGACCATGATTCACAAAGATAATTTGATACTAGAACATCAGCAGATACTTCATTAAAAGTGCTGTTTATCAGTTTTACGGAACATTAGAAAACACCCCTATATTTCTTCCTAATTTGAAAGAGACATTTGTCATCATCAACATCATGCAATGAAGCTCAAGTCTCCAGTTATCAAACGAGGCTCAGATTATTATCCTGTTTGCTACTGATAGTTTCTTCATTTTGAAAGAAATTCATTCATTTTCATGAATTTGATAGAACAAAGTCCACTTGTTTCTAGATTGCAAACAAATTAAAAGCATGAAAAAGCAAAAATATGAAACTGCTATATATGTTCCAATAGTTAAAGATGGCTACATTGCACAGGTGTTAAATTAAATCAATAAGAATGGTTTCCATGACATTGCCCTCTGTACCATTTATTTTACCGAGACACATGTAGCCAAAAGCTATAATCCTAATACAGGTAAAGCCTGGTATAATAAAACATTTGTTGGAAAAAGATTAACCATATAAATTTAAGTTCAATATAACCAATATAATGGCTGCAGTATATGCCATTCAAAATCATCATTTTTTGTTTTTTTTATTATAAACCCTCAAACCAAAAGCTGCAATAAAGCTACATCTGACACAAAAAATGTGACAATTTTGTAAGTCTATTATGTAAAAAAAAAAATCCATATTTTTAAAATGAAAAATGCATGTCATGCTACAAAATGAAAAAAAAAAATTATTGTAATTCAAGAAACAAGATTTGTAATACCTACCACATAGACTATACTGAGAAACAGCCTGAAACCTAATGTTTTTAAGTTATGGAACAATAGTGTTAATTTAGAAATAAAACACTTGGAAAGTAAATACTCAGAAAGAAAAATCACATACATTTTTTTTGCTGCTAACCAGCGATTAAAATTCAGATAAAACTGTCGAACAAAAAAAAGAAAGCCTATAGTCAAAACAATAATCATATATCTGCAACATCCGGCCCCGACTTCTGCTACCCATAAATAGTGATACCCTTAAATATAAACAAATTATTATCCACCTGATACCCCTAATTTCACAGAGAGGGAAGTGAGCGTGTTATTTAGAGGACAAAGATACGTCAGGGTAAAACCTCATAATCATGCTCCACTGTTCTGTGACCAATAACTAGGTTTTCATCTTTTTTGAAACTTTTTTTACGGACTTTTTCCTGAGTTTTTGTATACAGGAGACCTCAAATTCCTGTTAAATCATCTGTAGGAACAGGCCCCCCTAAAATTATAGAGTGGACATTTTACTGCTTTTAAGTATGTTCGAGATAAAAAAACTAATAGTAAACTAGTGCTAATTGTAACGGGGACCGTTACAGATGTTCCCCAAACGCTACCCATCTCCCTTTTGGTGCCATATTCCCTGTAAGCTTCATTAAATAAGACTAACTTGTTGCATTTGAGACTTTAACAACGTTTACCTAGAAGAGTACCAAGTTCATTCAAATTTTAGCATTGCACGCGTGTGCATGTGAATGCATGTGCGTAATGACCATATCATCTTGTCTACACAATCTATATACTTTAATATACTAAATATTAAAGTATTTAATCCAAAAGTATTAAAAATACGCTCATTCAAGTTTATTTTTGATTTTACTCATTTCACGTGCACGCACGTGCATACATGAGCATGGTGACATACCTTCTTGTAGAAGTCCATTACATCTATCTTTGTTCTAAATCCCACTCAGTTTGGTTGAAAACCAAGGGAGTTATAGCTGATTAAAGTTTCAGCCAATCAGATTGCAGGGTATGTATGGATGTGCATGGTGATCATACCTTATTGTTGTAGAAGTCTATTACATCTATGTATGTTCCAAATCTCATCCTGTTTGGTTGAAAACTAAAGGAGTTATAGCTATTTAAAGTTTCAGCCAATCAGATTGCAGCGCACGTACACGCACGTGTATGGATGTGCATGTTGACCATATCTTCTTGTAGAAGTCTATTATATCTATCTTTGTTCCAAATTCCATCCTGTTTGGTTGAAAACCAAGGGAGTTATAGCTTTTTAAAGTTTCAGCCAATCAGATTGCAGCGCACGTGTATGCACGTGTTTTCATGAAAATTGTTATATATCATGTTGTAGGATATCCTATTGCATGGCGATATTCAAAATTTCAAAGGATTTCATGAAAAAACAAGAAAGATATAGAGACTTTAGTTTCAGCCAATCAGAGCGAAGCGCACGTGCATGCGCGTGAGATCTTGCTATTTTGACCATGTCATATTGTCTATGCTACTACTATATCCTTATATTATGAGTTTCAATGCATTTCATCGAAAAGGTAAAAATTTACGCCTATATCAATTAAATCGGTTATTTCACGTGTTGCTCGTGCGCGCTCTTGCAAGCACGTGCACACAAAATGGCATGTTGACAATGTCATCTTGTCAAGATTTATAATATGTCTATATATTCTAA